GCAGGGGGGAGGATCTGCTTGTGGGCTCCCAGAAATGGAAACCATGTGTGCACTGACTCCTTTATTTGGGAAGCTGATGGCTGTCCCTTGCCTTGCACATCCACGTCCGTGGCATTCTAGAGGTTATTTTTCAAGGATAAGGGCTCCTCTGGCAGGTGCTAATTATAGGTGTCATTACAGGGGGCCATGTTCTCCTCCCATCCCATGCCAAGCAGCTCTAAGGCACCCAGGAGCAAAACCTCAGCAATGGCTGAGCAAACAGGGAGAAAGCATCCATGCCTGGGCCCAGAGGGATACCCCCTTCCTATGCTGTGTCAGCAAACCACAGAAATTCTTCCCTGAGGAAGAGGCAGGCCCTGGCACAGGTTGCCCAGAGAAGCTGTGGTTGCCCCATCCAAGGCCAGGTTGTCCAAGGCCAGGTTGGATGGGGCTTGGAGCAACCTGGTCTGGTGGAAGGTGTCCCTGCCCATGGCAGGGGAGGTGGAACAAGATAGGCTTTAAGGTCCCTTCCAAGTCACCATTCCATGATGATGATCCCACAGGCCTTCCACTGACACAGGGAGACCATGGCATTCATCCTGCAAAAGTCCTTTGCTTTGAAGGGGCAGCATCCTGCTTCAGTCACATCCGTGCTGGAAGGACCACGGTGCTGGGGATGCCTGTGGGTGCAGCTCCATGCTCCCCTCCCAGGGGCGGGAGCAGGGGTCGGAGGAAGAGGAGTGCTGATACTGTTTTAATCTTCCTTTTAACTGTAATTGTGTTTGCCTGGCTCCCCCGAGCTCGTTCCAGGAGATGCATTTTTCCCAGCTAGATTGCTTTCCTTGTTTTGCTCATTGGAGACAGGCCGGGGCCTGTGTCGTGCCAGCTCTGCATTAATAGAGCCTCAAATGAGATTTCACAGCCTCAAATCTGATTAGCGCCGAGGCTCCGGTTGCTTCCAAGAGTGAGGTAGACAGATGAGGAGCCATGATGCTTGGGAGGGGGTGCAAATCCATACAGATACGGGGTGCCACGCTCTACTCTAACACCCTAGGGACTGACATGGAGCCTGAGGGCATGGGGCAGCTGAGATGCAACGCATCTCCCACCCTCAGAAATCTGTGAATTCAGGATGCTGGGAGAAGGCTGGTCTAGGTGAAGCATCCACTCACCCATCAGCCACCAAGGCCCTGCTGTAAACCCATACTTCACCCCCATTTTGGTGCCTGATGAAGTCTAACATCCCTCTCCCCATCCTGGCTTCCCTGTGCCTGGAGGTGCGTGCCATGATGGAGCTGACCGGCTGTTAGTTTGGCTGCTTGCCCCATTATTGAGAGATTCTCTGTGGTGTCCCATGGGCTTTTGGTGTGCTCTGACATCCCAGAGCCCTGAGCTCCAGCTGAGAGGTAGCTAGATCTGCTGGGATTTCCCCAGGGACACCTGGGAATCCAGCATCTTCAAGCTGTCCGTGCTCTGGGATGTCCTGGCCCATCGTTGGGACGTCCTGGACCGTGCTCTGGGTTGCCTCAGCCATACTCCAGGATGTCCTGGCCCAAGCCTGGGGTGTCTTGGCCATGCTCCAGCCCTTCTTCATCTTCACAGCGGCACAGTGCTGGAGGTGGAACCTGTGACCTGATCCTGCTGCTTGTTTAAAGCCAAGTGGCTCTTTATTTTCCGTCCGGGAAGGGAAGCAGCTTGTTGGTGTTTAGCTGCCGTAAGGAGGCTTGAATGGAGCCTGGGGAGACATCATGTAGGAAAACTCACACCAGCCCCAGTCCATCTTCACTTATGGAGCCTACTATTATTTTATGGAGTCTCTGGAGGAGGATAAAGCTGACACATTCCCAACAGCTACTCATAAATTGCCAGGAGCAGGGAGGAGCTTGGGGCTGTTGATGATTCTGTGACAGCATCGCTCACGGCTTTAGCTGGCACTGGGGGGCTCACTATAAAGGACCACAAGGGTACTGTTCCTTGTATGGTAGGACAGGGACTGGTTTCTTCTCCTGCAGCACCCCAAGGAGCTCTGGGAGGGCTGGGATTGGAGTTGAGGAGGTGAATGCTGCAGGCCTACAGCCCCAGGCTCTCCCTCTGAGCTTATGTTGCTCCATGAAATCAAAATTCAAGGAGAATTCTGAAATCACCGACCTTCTTCCAGAGGGGAAAACACAACCAGTGGTCTCCAGGTGTGGGCAGGGGCTGGAGGAGCCCCTGCAGTGCCGTGCCTGGAGGTCCCTGCTGGCTCCCAGCCCGGGCTGCCCTGAACTAAACGCCGGGCTCTTGAGGCTATTTATGTCTTGTCAGCTCGCAGCCAGAAGCAATTTAATCTTGGCTGAGCGCTGCTGAAAAGGAGCTGCTGGGCCCCGGTGCTTCGTTGGAGATGATAAAGAGTTGATAGAAAAACAAATTACGACGATGGCGGCTCAGACGCCGTTAATCAACCTCCCCGCAACAGCGCGGTGTGAATAATTAATAATCGTCGTTAAGGAGGATTTAAGGGCGGCTCGGGGTTAAGGTGCTGCGTGGGATCAGGGCAGAGGGTTGCAGGAGATGCTCACGATGCTCTGCAGAAGTCGGTCGATTCTCCAGAGCTCCTCAAAATGTTCCAAACGTGGTGTCACCAGCTTGGGCACACTTGAAATACATTTTATCTCCACCTCCGCAAGCTACAGGTTGCAAACTCCTGGGGGAGAGCACGTGGCTTGGAAGGATGGAGAAGCTTTTCTCCCACTAAGAGGGAGCTGCAAACAAGCGTGGGCTTCACCTGGAACTGTAGGGTAGAGATACTTCTTCCCTTTGGGAAGAAACACTGAATCTCCTCCTGGCTTTGAATAGTGACTGGGTTTTTTTTTTTTGGGTAGTTAATCACAGGCTTGTTGGAGGTTTGAGGTACTGTTTGCCTGAGAAGCCTGGCATTGTTCACACCTGCTATTTTTAAAATGGTTTGTTCTCCTGCTGAGCTTTATTTTGCTTAACCACTTGTGAATTTTCTGGTAAAACCCTCACTAATTATCCTGCTGTCACTGTTGCTGATGGTAAAACCAAGGGAGATGTAAATACAGTGGTGGGAATGAAGATGTGCACTAAGAAACCTGCTTCTGTTACCTGGAATGTGAAAGAAAATAGGGAGAATATAAGAAAATGTCCCAAAACAGTGATCTGGAGCAGTAAATAAGGATGGGGGAGTGGGACACTGGCCCAGCATCACAGCTTATGTCCAGGGCTCCCCCCCCAGAGCAGGGCTCCATCAGAGAGCTCCAAGGTGTCTGTGCAATTAAAGCAAGGTTGTTTCTGGGTTCTGCCAGCTGGAATTCCTCCAGATGGGGATTTTAGTGAATATTTGGCAAGGCTGGATGAGGCTTGAAGCAAGCTGGTCTAGTGCAAGGTGTCCCTGCCCATGGCAGGGGGTTAGAATGAGATGAGATTTAACACCCTTTCCAACCCAAACCATACTGGGATTCTGCGATACTTGGGATGAAAATGTTCACTGAAATTCCAGAACTGGAGCCTGAACAGATGCTCTCTTGACAGGATAGAGGGGTCTCCAGGGAGAGCATCCCTGCCTGCGTGCCTGTGCCTGCTTCCTGCCTGCAAATCTGGCACCATGCCCCTGCAAAACCCCCAACCATCCTTGCCCTCTCTCAGTGATGGATTGGGATCCATTCCCTACTCTGCTCTGCAGGTCAGGGGATCCTCCCCCACTTTGTGTTTCTGCTCCTTCAGTGCCACTTCCTGGCTGTCAGAGACACCAAGGCTGTCCCAGCCCCAAGCTCCAACTGGTTTGTGAGCTGACAGGAAAAAAAAAGGCGGGGGGAAGAAAAGCTGATTTACATGTTTTTCCAGACTGCTGGTGATCAGAGCACCCACCCAGATTTCCATGCCACAAGTGATCCTCAGCTTTGGGCGTGTTATCCCTCATGGCGGTGGGTCACCAAGCACACCACTGCTGCAACGGGGCAGCCTCGGGAGAGACGAGGGAGAGACAAGGGAGTGGTTTTAGGACAAAGCAATCCCTCATTACTGAGTTCGGAGGCACAGCCACGTGTCGGAGGGGATTTGCAGGCAGCGGCTTTGAGGAGCCCGCGGGCTGCTCGCCGGGCTGGAGCTTTTGTTTCAACCCCAGGAGGTCCAAAGATGCACGAAGGGTTTGGATTTCAGGGTCTGAAGTGGGGCAGAGTGGGTTTTAACTCCTTGCATCCCCAGAAACGTGAGATATTAGATGGATTAACGCTGTGTGCTGCCTGAGACGGCGGCACTGCGGGACGCAGGGGGTGGGGGACAGCACCGTCTCTCACTTGGCCGGGGTGTGATGGGAGCAGGAATGGGATGCGTGAGGAGCAGCTTGTGGCTCTGCTGCTCCTTATCACATCAGCTGGTGGGAATTAATGAGCTGGGGTGGGGGGAGCCCCTGCACTCCTGCCCTTCCCCCCAGATTGGGCCGAGATCCCAATTCCCGGCAGAGTCCCTATAAATTGCAGAGATGTCTGGGCTGGTGACAAGGGGGAGCAGGGGGATAACAGGAGCTGGAGAGGGGGGTGGTTGTTGGGAGGTCAGAGGGACATGGGGGCATAGAGGTGTCTTAGATGGTTAATCCCTGTTTTGGTGACCTGGCCTGGGATTTGTGGACCCCAGTGTAGCTGCCCCCTATGGCACCATGCTGGGCAGGGGTCCTGGGATGATTTCACCCTGTGCAGGATCCTCTGGTGCTGCTAGGTGTCCTCCCAGAGAGCCTGGCACCACTGTGGCACTGCTGTGACATGGTGACATCAGTGGTGTGGAGCCACAGGGGACAGAGTGTGGACACACCGGGGACAGGGAAGAGGCAGCTGTGATGGGAATGTGGGGGAGACACTACTTCCCTGGCTTGCTCTCCCTCATCTGGGACCAGTTTGGGATGTGGGGATGTGCTGGGATGAAATCTGGGCTCTCAGCACTGAGCTGGGCCATGGGGACGAGGTGGGGTGACAGGCACATGGCTGCAGCCCTTCCCACCTTCACGTATCCTCACTCGCTCCCGGCAGGTATCCAAGTCCCCCGCTGTGACAGAGGGTCCCGGGCACACATCCATGGCTGGTGGGGGACACGTGGCCCCCCTGGGGAAGGAAACCATCACTGTCACCCTCCATGGTGCCAGCAACCTGCCAGCCACACGCGAGGGCCGGGTGCCGTGGCCGTACGTTGTTGTGTGAGTATCCAGCATCTGCAAAGGGGGACAGCAGGGATCGTGGAGACACAGAGAAAGGGTTTGGGAGCTGCCACCCTCTTCATAAGCCCCAGGGAGGGGGGGAACCTCTCTGGCATTGCCTCCGTGAGACGCAGGGAGAGGAACCAGGACTCCTCGCTGCGATGGGGGAAGGCAGACACGAGGCACTCTGGCTTGCTGGGGTGTCAGGAAGAAAGTGTTCCTAATATTGAAAGTATAAAATGATGTCAAAGAATCCACAGGGTAATGCTGCCTGGGTTTGGGGATGATATCACAATAAATAAAAGAGTGTTTTAATAAATAAAACAGGATGTTGGGTAAGGAGGACTTGGCTCCTCGTGCATTATGCATGTGCCAGGGGACTCAATTAGCCGATCAGCTTTGGTCTGTGGTAGGAGGGAGGCCGTCCTGCTCGGCACTGCCATCCCAGAGGCAGAGGGGCTTCACTTCCCTGGAAAAGAGGGGAGAAAGCAGCTATCAGTGCCTTCAGAGCATCACCTGGCTGCGGAGCTTGGTTTTTGCAGGGCATCTCCCCAGGGCAGTGCCGGGCAGGCTGGTACCCAAGTGGATCCATCAGTGCCAAGGGAACAGGGCCGCAGGGTTGGGGTTCATCCACTGGGAACAATCAGCAGCCAGGACTGTGAAAGCCTGGAAACATCTCGTGTAAAGCAAACTGTTGCTTGCTGGGTGTTTTCCAGAGTAGAAACTCTGAGCTCTGTGGTGAAGGGGGTCCCAGGGTCTGTCATTGTGACAGAGTGCCCGGTGCCAGCCCCATCAGGCATCCCAGAGGCTCCCTGGGCAGGGGGGATGCGGGACTCCATCATCAGGATTTTGGCAGCTGGGGCTGGCTGACATGTGAGCTGGGAGCCTCCACTGCCACCCCTCTATCACCCCATCCTCTCTTTCCCAACCCCCCCATGCCAAGGACCCGCTCTCCGCCCCGACAGCCTGAGTAACTCTACGGCAGGACTTGTCTCTATTTCCATAAACCAATTATACCCAGATGATCTCCGGAGATTTAAACATCAATATCCTAAATGATAGCACGAGGGTGGCGTGTGATTGTTGCATCTCTCTTTACATTCTGGTGCTGCTCCATCACCGCATTGCCATGGTAACGGGAGAGTGATGGAAGGGAGGGGAGGGGGGTATTAGGGATGCAGGACACATGAGGGGCCTTTTAGTAACCATAGTGAGGGAGCCAAGGCAGAAGGGAATCACTGATTGTTTTTCAGGGCACTTGCTCTTTAAGGAGAGTAGCATGTTGCAGTTAAAAGGTGGGATTTTATGGATGGGAGGGAGAAGTTGGAGGGGGATGTGCTGGTGGGGAGTCTGGTGGCATCCAATCCCCCCCAAAACAGCCAAGTGATAACCAGTGGAGCCATCCCAAGCCCAAAGTGCCAGCACACAGAGCATCACCCCACATAAGGATGTGATCCAAGTGGGATGGGAGGGAGGGAGCAGCACCACTGCCCTCTGTGGCTGTGCCCAGTCACTTGTGCCTGGACTCAGCATCCCACAGTGCTCCGTAGTTGTGGGCACCACTACCAGAGATCTGGGGAGGGAAAGGTTTAGCAGAGCGAGCCTGAAAGACCTTGAAGAGCAGAAGATCCCACACAGGGGCTTTGGCTCACCCTGCCCCAGAGAAAGCCTCCTCCTCCGGGGATGCTCTGGGGATCTGGCATCACCTTGGCTCTGCTCCTCACCCTCTGAACACCCAGAAAATCCTCCCTCCCTGCTTCCAGGGGCATCGGTGGGTTTGTTCCGCATCTTCCTTTCACTCCCTCGTGCTCACAGACAAATAGCTGCCGGACCGGCAGGATGCAGGGATGACCTTGGCGTGCTGGAGCCGGGCGTGTTTGCAATTAACGGCACAAAGCGCCTGGCCCCGGCCGGCTTCTCCTCCCCGCTGAGTACCACGGGCGGGTGAAAGGACTTCCTCGCTCCCTCCTTTCTGCTCTTCAGTGCCCAGAGAAGCAACTCAAGGTCGCTGCTGAATGCACCAGCTGCTCCCAGGCTGGGGGATGGGGGTCCCTGTCCCCCTGCCCACGGGGGACCTGTGAAGGCAGCAGTCCAGGTCATGATGCCATGGGATGCTCTCAGAAAGGGTGTTCCTGCAAGTAAAACCTTTTGGCTCTGCCCAAAATTAAACCAGGGACTCAGCTGATAAACCCAGAGCACTGGGGCTGTGAGATCAAGCGGTCCCTCCTTGCCACAGCATCCTGGTGGGATGAAGATGGAACATCCCAGGGTTAGAAGACCGGGAGCAATGTAACAACTGGGATATCAGCCCCGAGAAATAACTCACCCTGTAGAGATAATAACTCATAACACCGGATAAATAAACATTCTGAAGGCTGGGCACAGCCCTGCCAAGCCCTTTGCTGGGCACCCCGGTGTCACAGCAGCGGGGTGGCTGCGTGCCGCCGTCCCCGAGCACCGTAGCCGAGACGTTGATGGGTAATAACTCCCCGGAGGCAGCCGTCTTTATCTTTTATCTTTATCTTTTATCGCAGCGGTGGGCGGATGGTGCATCCCCGCACGCACGGCAGAGCCAAGAGCCTGCCCCGGAGCCGGCAGGGAGGGATGCAGAGAATCGGAGGAGCAGCTCTTGGTGCATCCCAGCCGTGTCCTGCCCTGAGCTGTGCGATCTCATGTCTGCAGACCCCGCTCCTGCCCCTCCAGCGCGTCTGGAGCTGGCTGGGGGGAGGAGAAAACATGAAACCCTCTCTGCTCTCCGCTGTTCCAGCTGCCCCCGGCCTATTCATTTGGTTTTTGAGGCACACCCCTGTGCTTTGTGCAGTTGTGGGTTGTTTTCCTCCCCCTCCCCACTTCACAGCTCTTTTTGAATGCTCTCCCGTCCTTAGGCAAGTCTGTAATGAAGGGGGCCTGTTCTCACCCTCCTGCTCCTCCTCCCACACCCCCAGCCCAGGTCTGGCTTCATTCGGACTCTGAGCACGTTGCTGGGAGAGCAATCCCCCACAGAGCTCATTACTGGAGAGCCAAGTTTTTTTCCAGCCCCTCCAAAACAGTGCCAGCCTGATGGCAATTCCCACCTTCCAACGCTGGCCAGCTCCATCCCTGTGGGATGCAGATGGGCTTTGCCGGTGGGGAAGGGGACACGTGGGAGATGAAAAAGGAGCACAGGATGTGGATGCAGCATGGCTGAGGGCCCACTAGACCAATCTCTTCAGCAGGGAGAGGGAATGGAGATCTTGCAACCATCCTCCCATCCATCTGGGATGAACCTGCTCGGTCCCACCTGGAGCTCACCCTACAGCTGGAAGGACCTTTGCGAACGAAATGATCTTTAAGCGCCCTTCCATCCCAAACCATTCAATAATTCTATGCCTTATAATCTCTTTTCCCCCAGTGTTGGAGTCTCCAGTGACACCATCTCTTCTCAGTCACAACAGTGCCCTGGTAAACTGTCCCCAAGGGCCATGTTGGCTCTGCCCCATGAGGAGCTTTTCTTGGAGGGGCCAGCACCAGGCACTTCATCACCTTAATATCCAGAGCAACCCGTTCACAGGGCTGGGATATCTGTGTCACAGTGGGATGTCACCATCCCCTTTCACCCCATGAGTGGGGGTGCAGGGACTTGAGCTCACCACGTCACCAGGCAGTGGGACTCTGCTGTGGTTTTGGGACTCCAAGTGTCTCGCTGGGCAGTGGAGACGCCCTAAAAGATCTTCCAGCCCCACTAAAAGTGTGTGGGGGATTATTATTATTAGCCAAGCTAATGAGTAATTGGTGATTAATTGATAAAAGTGGGAGGAACAACCCCAAAACATGCCTGATGGTGACACCAGCACAGATGAAGAATTACCCAGGTCTGTAGCAGTGAACACAACCATAATTATTGCTCAGCATTGTTATGTGCCGAGTCTAATGATGACAGTCGTTAACATTCAATCTTCTCTCTCTTTTCCCAGCAGCATCTTCCCTGTCCCTTCATCAATACTGTGGATAATTAGCCTCCGGGGCCTGAAATAGCCTTTAGGATAAAAGGGGCTGCAAACCCCTTTTATCACTGGGGGTTGGGCAGGATCCAGGAGTAAAAGCAGCACTGAATCCCCAGCAAAGCCCCCCCAGAGCAGGGGCAGAGCTTTGCTGAGGGCTGGATGCTCGTCCCTCTCCCAGCTCCCTGCTGCCATATTCCTCACCTGTTTTCCTCCCTTTTCCTCACAGTAAGACCAGTGGAGGGGCTGAGCAGAAGCGGGAGGCCTCTCGTGCATCCTCAGAGCCCACCCACACACCCACCTGGGAGGAGGAGGTGGTGCTGGAAATGGATGCCGAGGATGCAGGCTGGGCAGGTGAGAGCCTGGGGACCAGGACATGGGAATCATTCCTCAAAGGGCTAATTTGGGGATATTAGGGAGTCCCTGCTCCTCAGGACCCCAGGCAGAGGGAACGAGCCATGTCCTGAGCTCATGGCTGTGGTGTCTGCAGGGCAGGACCAGGAGGGACGTGCCCAGGGTGGAACAGGCAGTGATGCTAGGCATCCTCCAATGGGAATCAGCATCAGAGGGGAAACACCCCCAAATCTTTCCCTACTGCCATCCCTCACCTTGTATCATTTGGAACCACATCCTGATGCTGTTACTCCCCACGCGGGGCTGCTAAATCTGTAATTGTGATAAAACTCGTGGAATTAGGGGCCAGGATTTGATTATAAAATCAGCTCCTTACAAAACAAACGTTAGGAACCAATCTTCACATCGTGCCTAATCCCATTAGGCCCTGATCCCGGTGAAATTGAGGAGATTTTGATGTACTTTTTGCCCCGTGCGGGATCATGAGAAATTCAGGGAGACTTGATGGAGCTTCCAGGTCTGCTCCTCCACCTCCCAGCATCTCCCAGATGTTTGGCCATGTTCATCCCCCAGATGTTCATCCTGAAGCTGTCATCCCCAGGTGCAGCTCACAGCTTTTCTTCCCCGGCAATACAGTTTCCATCCTTTTATCTCCCAGAAATCCGAGTGTGATCCATCATTGGTGATGACAGGCAGAAAAGCCACTTGTGTCTCGCTCAACCCCAGAACGTTTTCTCTGGTGCTTCTTCCACGAGGAGCTGGGAGAAAAGGAAAATTTCCATTTAAATGGAGCACTTGCTGTAAAGCACAAGCTCAGGGAAGCGTGGACCAGGCGCTTGCCTTCTTCATCTTCACTTTGGGGACGTGCACAACCTGTGGCATTCCCAGGCTGGCCAAGCAGGAGTTAAGGCGGGTGCCTCGGCGCAGTCATTAAGCTGGGGGAAGGGAGGCCCAACTCTTGATGGCAGCATAAGGAGAGGGCGGTTTTCCCTTCCATCAGCTCCTTTTTTTTCTTCTTCTTTTTTTTTTTTTTTTTCCCATAAAAGGCTCCTGTTCCTGCTTGTCAAATAAATTGCAGCTTTGCTCTAATTTAAGGGAAGAACTGGGGGTGCCAGAATCTGTGGGGTGATGCTGCCATGCCAGGGGACAGATGGGGACCAGGCACCTCTAAGAGGACTGATTTCATGGTGGACCCTGAGGCAGGGAGGGCTCAGGGCAGGATGGAACCCTGCAAGCTGAGCAGGGTGGGCTGGAGGCAGGGAGGTGGATTAGATGGATCAGTAGGAAATCCTGGCTTCTTAGATGGGAATCTGAGCTGTGTTGGTGCCAGCTTCGCTCTCCTGGAATTGCCTGGGACCTGTTCTTCATGGCTCCCTGGGATGCACATGTGTGTGTGTATTATCCTGGTCTGGGTGTCAAGCCTGCTCCTGTCCACTCCACCCTGGCCTTGTGAGGGGAAGGGCCTGCTGAAAATTAATCACTCCATTGTCTCTGTCCCTTTCTCACCCAGACCTTCCCCCAAACCTCTCCTTTTCCCTAAAACCCTCCTCTTTCCCAAACCCTGCTCATCCTGACAGCTGACCCTCTCCCTTCCAGTGCTGACCCTCACTGTGGCAGACAAAGCTACCAAGGAGGCACTGGGGACATTCCAGCTGCCAGCCCGGCATCTCCAGCCCTTCCAACCCCACCACTGCAGGCTGGTGCTGGTAGGTATGGCACAAACCCCTCCATCCTGCTCCTTATTCCTGCTCATAGTTTGATTTTCACCACTTGTAGCTGGGGGCTGTGGGCAAAGGGAGCCTTGTGTAATGCCATAATACCGGTGGGAAAACCACATTTGGCAAGTTGGGGAAGGTGCTCAAAGAGGCTTGTGAGCTTCCTGAGAGGGAGGAACAAGGCAAGCGTTGTGCTGGGCTCAAATGTGGTAGAAAAGTGACGGGATTGCAAGCTGGGAAGTGCTTTCACCCTCAGGATCCTGGGAAGGAGAAGCAGGGCAGGACATTCATTAAACACAGGTTGCTGTGCATTAATTAATGCAGGCAGGTACCCAGCCCCAGAGAAGCAGCTTCCTGAACCCTTCCATGGGCATTTCTCCAACCCAGGGACTTGGCCAGTAGCGCCCTGTACAGCTGAGGCCTGACAAACTCACTCCATTACTCCCCCAAAATCAAACTCTCCTATGCTCAGGCTGGCAGAAATGAGCTTACCCTTCCCTACATAGATTGGGAACGATGAAATATTTAAACACAGAAGGATTTATTATATTGATCTTTTCCGAGAAGGCTCAGGGGGCCACTGAGCTTTAATTACCAGTTGGTGCTTTGTTGCCAGTGATGGGCTGTCCATGCCCAGTGTCCATGTTTTGTGGCCTTGACCTTTTTCCCCCCACGCTTTGCTCTCCTCCACACACAGCCAAGGAGGCAGGACTCTGTGGGAATGGTCCTGCGTGTCACCATCACCCGCAAAAAGAGCTTCATCCCTCGCTGTGATGGACTGAGCTACGTGGCCTTGGAGGTGAGAGGTGGCCTTGGGGTCAGGGGTGGCAGGGAGGTGTGCAGGGTCTGCACGTCGTCTCCTGCTCTGGCAGCTTTTTCCCCTCCCCACAATCTCTGTCCCCTCACCATGGACCCTCCACCTCCCAGGTGCTGCTGCGGGGGCTGTCTGTCCCCCTCACCACCCTCCCCAGGACCCTCGTCGCCGTGGCCAGAGTTGTGAGCAATGTCCAGGAGTACAAGTGAGTGATGGCCAGGGGTCTGCTGGTGACACAGGGGGACAACTTGAGTATCCCTGGTGCCATCGTGCCCTCCCACGGCGCTCGGCTCGCTGGGGTGGATGTGGCCCCACACACACTGACCCAAACCTTTCCATCACTCCTCAGGCACCGCATGGAGAAGAATCCCATCTCTCATCCCAGCATCAGCCCCACCACCATCCTGTTCCCAGACCCTCCAGCAGCCGCCTTTAGCATCGCCCGAGCTGCCAACCACGGCTGCCCTCAGGTACGGGGCCGAGCATATCCACAGGGATGCAGGGATCCAGCAGCATCCTTCCCGCTTGGGTACCAAAGAGCATCCCTCCTTCAGCAGGGGAGCTGAGCACCCCACGCAGGAAAAGCTTCAGGGGCAAAACGATGCTTTGAGCGTCAGACATGGTCCTCACACGCAGAAACCCGCAGGCAGCTCCTCGTTTGTGCCTTTGTCCTTCATTTTTCCCTCTGCTCTGCTCACGCCTCCAGCTCGAGTGCCTCCTCTCGAAGGCAGCGACCTTCTCCTCCCCGGGCCTCAAGTACCGCGACGCACATCTTCAAAATAGCTGTTGCCAGGGAAACATCCCCTTTCCACACAGAGCATCGTCATTGGCAAGCGAGAGGAGGGCCCCGCTTTTGTTCCTGAGCCCTGCCAAAAAATTGGCGAGGAGGGAGGGAGGGGACTGGAGGGCTGGTGGGGCAGGGAGGAGGCGGGATGGAGCAGCAGAGCCAGGAGCCACTGCATGTAGCTGCCACTCCTCAAAAGCAGAGCTGCTCCATCCTTTCACCTCCGCAAAGTGCCAGCCGAGGGCAGATGTCCGGCTGCACCCAGAGGACGGATCCAGCTGGCCCCCAGTGCCAGCGGAGCGCACGCGTTTCTCTGGCTCGATCCTCCTCCCCCGTGCATGGAATTTTGATCGGCTCGGAGCGAAAGGCCCTGGATCAACACATTCGGGGAGCCCATAAATAAAATATCACGGAGAGGCAGCCGGCCAAATGCCAAGTCGCCCGTGAGGCGCTGAATTATCATAAAAATCACTAGTGTGTTTCATTCAGTACAATAATTATTGGTTTATCCCTCCACTCCCCCCGCTCTGCCTCCCTGGGTTCTTCTTGCAGGTAAGAGACGGAGGGAGCACTGAGACCCTCCACTTTGGGTCTGCACCCCCAGTCCCACCATGGCAATGGATTCAGGGTACAAGTTACCCCATCAACTCCAGACCAGATATAGGAATGAAATCCCTGTCTACTACCCAAGACACTGGATATCTTCCCTCTCCAATCTTTGCAACCCTGAGGCTGCTATTTCCCAGGGATATTTCTCTTTTGTAAAGGCAGCCAAAATGCATTTATTTTGGATTTACAGGCATAATTACAAACACAGACCCCCACAAAGTTGTGGGATCCATGCTCTGGGTCCCAGCCCCACATCCCTGGCACTGCTGCCAGCACCAAGCGGTGGGAGCCCAACACGGGAGGACGAGTGATTAAACCCGGCCATCTGGCCTGTGTGCTGCCTCCTCCTCCTCCTCCTTCTTGTCCTCCTCCTGCTCCTCCTTCCCTCCACACCCACAGGGCTCAGTCTGTCTTGGCACATCCCCAAGGATGCTCTTCCTGGGGAGCTGCGTGACCCCCGTCTCCTGCCTCAGTTTCCCCACCTGTAGGATGTGCTTCCCTCACGGGAGGATGAACTCTTAATGCCTGGGAGGAAATGTTAGGGGAAGGCTGGGGGGAGGAGGAGGAGGAGGGAGCATTGTTGCTCCAGTTCCAGAGGTTAATGGCTTTCCCTGAGTGAACTCCTGGGCGGGCTAATCGGATTCGATAATTCTGCCAGCCCTGTGTGTCCTCTCGCCTGTCGGTTCCCATCAGCGTCTGCAGCCAACAGCACTTGGGTTCACCTTCAGCAGGGCACCCCTCTCACTCCTTTTAGGTTCCCAGGTCATTAGCCCTTGTCTGCCTGGCCGGGGCTCCTGGAGACCTGGTCTTCCTGGCCAGGAGTAAGCTGAGACCTGCACAGAGCTGCCTGCAAGAGTGCTGGGTGCTCCCATTGGGCCAGCATCCTCTTTGTCACCAAAGGGATTGCCACACTGGTGGCAATGGCAAATCCATGGGGCCTACTACAGAAAGCCATGGTGTGTCTGTCCTCCCAGGACCAAGCTCAAGCCTTTGTGATGTTGGCCCCCTCTAAGATAAACCTCCTTCAGGGCTATTTTCCTTGGGAATTCTCCAGCTTAACCTACTTATCTGGAGCTTCTCACTCTTGTCTGCAGTCTGCAGCATCCAGACAGGCATCTGTGAGGAGAAGGGATGGCCTCATCCCTTGGGAAGGCAGGAGAGGGGCTGTAGGCTTGGCCACCTCTACCTCTGCTCGTGCCAACGATGCTGCCTTTGAACCAGCCGTTGGGAGATGAGCTGGGACAGCCAAAAAGGATGAAGGTGTCTCCTTCATCCTCCTCCTCCTCCCCATCCCCTTTGTTGTGTTTCTGCAGGTGGCCCTTGGCAGGGGGGGCTGTTGTGCCAGGATGTCTGCCCAAATCAGCGCATTGGCTCTGACGCCCCGGCACAGAGCATCCATCTGTCCCACCGAGCCAGTGGGAGACAGCCCGTCCCCAGCAAGCATCCTGCCCCCTGCCCCCGCCTCTAAAATCAGGGGGGGAAATCAGGAACGTCATCTCCCATCCCTCTGCTGGTGAGAGGAGCCATGTGGGCTCAGGACCTCCAACAATTGGGGTCAAATCAGCAATATGCTCCCACGTTTGACTTTTCCCTTCCCTGCTGAGGCTGAAACGGCACCACCTCCAGCGCCTCGTACAGGTCGATGCCAGGAAAAGTAACTGGAGGTGGCATTTTGTGGTTTTGAGATTTTCCCCCAAAAATTGGGCTTTCTGAGGCTGATGAAACAGCCCTATGGGCTGGGAAAGGAGAGGAGCAGCTGGAGGGTGCTGAGCTGGATCTGACTGCTGTGAGCTCCTCCAATCCGTGTGCATTTTCCTAAGGACTTTCAGGCACAGCCCGGGCTCCCAGCAGCCAAACTAAGCTATATCCCAGCTAAAAATCCCTAAGGATTCCCTGACAAATTCCTGAATGAGAGAGCCAGCCTGGTGCTGAGCCAGCACTAACAGCACTGCCTGATGCAGCCCGTCATGGAGGATTTTTTCAGGCTCTGAAGCATCCCAACCCCACATTCCCCATGCTAACACCTCCCAAGGCTGGATAATGCACCTCTGAGGCTCTCCGAGGTGCATAATGCCCATTAGCATCCCAAAACAGGAGCAGAGGGAGATGCCCCACTCTTCCACCCTCCCTATCAAAGCAGAAATGTGCTGATGCAGAAAAGCCGATCGGCATCTCATTCCCGCTGGGCGATGCTGGCTGAAGGGATGGAGTAACAGCATTAAAAAGGAGCTGCTGTCAATAAATTCTTGGCGTTGGGAAGTCAGTGTTAAGGTTGACCTTTGAAAAGCTGGCGGGGCTCTCCGGAGGCGAAGCGGAGTAGCCGCCAGTGGGGACAGAATGATGCCATTTCCAACGACGGATGGCAGCTCTGGGGATAAACATGCTTCCCACTATTCTATATATCTGTTGGGTGACCTGGAATTCATGTTTGGGAAGGGCTTTTGAGGTGATAGGCAGACCCTGAACACCTGCAAAGCAACCCCTTCCCACACATTAGTGCTGTGTTCCCCCACAAATACGGAATTTCCTGTTGTCTCTTAAGATATCCCGACCAGCCGGTCCCCGGGAGCAGCCATCCTGGAATGCCTCCTTCCTCTTCCAAGGCCAAGACGCTGCCACCATCTTCTCCGAAGACACGGCTCTGACAATTGAGTTTTATCCATACAAAGACGGTGAGTCTCAGACCCCACCAGGGATGCTCTCTGTCGTCCCAGCTTTGGCTGCTGTGCCCTCATCCAGCTGTTCTCATCCCTTCCAGTGTGGGATGCTCCGGGCACCCTCATTCCTGTGGGATACTCGGTGCTGCCCCTCACCAGCTGTGTTTTCCAGGAGCTGGCAGCGTGCAGCAGTGGAGTGCACGTGGATGGCCTCGCTGTGGAGGTGAGAAAGGGCCCGTGGGGTAACACTGGGCAGGTGATGGTATCTACAGGTGATGGTGGGATGATGGGATGATGGGATGGTGGAATGGAAATCCCACCTCCATGTCTGGGTGAGCAGCCTGGCACAAAACTCCCAAGCATCCCACAGGAAGCTGGGATCTCTGCTCCAAACCACAGCCCTGCACCTCTGGATGACATCTAGATGATGCCAAAGCCACCAGGAGCTCCAGTGGAAACCCAATTTGCCTCCCCAGGGCACCGACCTCCAAACCAAAACTGGAACCATCCCAACCGTGGGGCTCTGCCTGCAGCTCCTTCGATTCGAGGTGAGATGCTGGGGATGGAAAATCCCGAGGTGAGGAGGGATGGGGACAGGGACGGGGAGGAGATGGCTCTTTAGAGCTGCCACCCTCTCTCCAAACCTTTCAGCTGGGCTGGATATGGGTTTTATCCCTTGTGCATGTTGTCCCAAGGCTCTGGATCATGTCGTCAGGCAGCTAGAAAAAGCAGCATCGTTCTTGCCATCACACATCCATCGCTTTCCCAGGGATTTTGTCACATGCTCATATTCCCAGGAAATCCTGCCTGGAGACAGGGCACAGGCAGGGTATTTGGGAGAGGCTGCTCACCATCTCGGAGTGGAGAAACGCCAGGCTGGTTAACCATGGTGACAAATGTCCAGCTGTCTTCCTTCAGCATTTGTGCTCCCCAGGGATGTCACAGCAGGGAGGGAATGCGGCTGCTTTTCCTGGGGAGGAGGAAACCCTGCCAGCCCTTGGCTCCAGGTCCGTGGGCAGGTTTGGATGCGTCCACGAGCCCAATCGATCTAATTACTGCAGCCACCAGCCTCTGCTCCCATCTGCAAACCAAAAATCCTCTCCATAAAGTGAATTTGGGTCCGGTCTGGATGCTGCATCCCTGAGGAGCCGCGGCGGGCAGGGGCCGGCTGGTGGGGGGCTTTGGAGTGATTGCCCAGGGGGGTCAGCAAAAAGGGGTCTGCGTGTGATGAATTATTCACATGGGTGTCACTAAGTGCAGAATTAATCCTTTTGCTTCCAGCTGGCTGCTGCACTAAATTATCACTCGCAGTCATGCGGGAAAATGCTGCAGAATTCATTTAGCTGATTATTGTTTTGATCTGGGAGCTGCAATTTTTTTTTCTCCTCTTCCTCAACCTCTCCCATTCCGCTGCTCGAGCCCTGCCTTCCCTAATGTATGTAAGAGCTGGGAGTGGAAACAAAAAGCGAGAAAGCCAGAGCAAGCCTTGGGCTCTGGATAATTCATCCGGCAGCGGCCCAGGCAGATGGACCCGGAGCGATGCAAATCAGTGAGCGAGTTCCTACCGAGCGGGGTGAGGGCATGTTCTGCTCCTTGTTTCTTGCCTGGAGGTCAGGATTTTCTTAGGAAAATGCTCCAGCTGTCTGGCTGTGATCCCCAGCACCCCAAAACCAGCAGGTAGGGGAGGCGTTGCCTCAGCTGCGTGGGCAGGGACTCTCCTGCTTTGGGCAGCCCTTGGCTTCAAGGGATGCTTGAAGGCTTAATTTCCAGCTTCTCAGCTCATGGATTAGTCTTGAGCTTGGCTTTGGGACAGCAAGAAGGGGCCAAATGGGGGCCAAGAGGCACAGACAGGCAATACAGGACTCGGATGAACCTGGTGATGCCCTGGGCCTTTGTACAAGGAATGTCTCTGTGGTGTGAGGAGCCACAGCATCCCTGCCCATGCCTGGATCTGAGGAGACCCAGCATCCCTGTTCATCCCTGAGGTGTGAGGGAGCCCCAGCATCCCTGCCCACTTCCAGGTGCAAGGAGCTGCATCATCCCTGTCCATCCTTGGAGCATGAGCAGCCATGGTATTGCTGTCCATCCTCGGGGTGCAAGGAGCTGCAGCATCCCTGTCCATCCTTGGACAGCCATGGTATTGCTGTCCATCCTCGGGGTACAAGGAGCTGCATCATCCCTGTCCATCCTTGGAGCGTGAGCAGCCATGGTATTGCTGTCCATCCTCGGGGTACAAGGAGCTGCAGCATCCCTGTCCATCCTTGGACAGCCATGGTATTGCTGTCCATCCTCGAGGTGCAAGGAGCTGCAGCATCCCTGTCCATCCTTCTCCATGATTTCTCACCCCACATCTCTCCCCGCAGCCGATGGCAAAGGAGAACACTCACTGAGCTCGTTTTCTTTCCTTTCTTATTTTTCCTTTACCTCAGAGAGCTGAAAATGGATAACCCAGATTGGTTGGGCTCTTTATAACAAACAGCAGCTAAATAAACCCGAGGTGCCATCTGGTACCCGGCACACTCAGAGCCGGGTGTAAATCCCGGCTGTTCTGTGGCCTCTGCAGGGATTTCACCAACTCCTACCAGGGACGTGGATGCCCAGAGCTTGGTTTCAGATGCTCATATCAACCCTTTGTGCTGGGAAAGTGTCCTCAGTGATAGGGTTTTCCAGGGAAAAGGGGTTACCCACAAACTAAACTCCCTGTCTCAAAACTCTGCTTCGCTTGTAAAAGCCACAGGGAAAGGGTTTGGAGCATCTGCTTTGTTAAAAGCCAAGAACCCCAACACCAGGAATGAGCAAACAGCCGTGTTACCCAAGGGAAGGGGCAGTGCTGGGTTGCAGCCTCCTAGTAAAGGCACTGAGATCCCCAGGTTTGCCCCCACCCAGCCCTGTTCCCCCCCATCTTCATCCCCTCAAACTCCCCCTCTGGACCCCACAGGAGAACAAAAGACTTTGATCATCTCAGGGAGACAAAAAAATCAAAGACTTCAGCAAAACGCTGGTGCTTTAGCAAATTAACCTTTGGCATTCAAAAAAACCCAGGTTTTCCAGGTTTTTTTCCAGGGGGAAAGCCTGTAGCCAGATTCCTCCACCTCGGTACTGGCTTGGGGCTAAAGACACGACTCCTGTTTTCCCTTCATTCCAGATTTTCCTTTTTCACCCCAAATTTAGTGTCTTGCCCAAAAGAGATGAGTTTGACCTCACAGTAGCCAGTGGTAAAGCCACGTGCAGGTTCAGCAGGATGCATTCCCAGGCGATTCTGAGCCTCATCCAAGGGCTGGAAAACACACAGAGGAGGCATCTGTATTACTGAGGGATTTATTTATATCCCTGTTTAATAACCAGCCTTGTTTTACGCTTTGTTTTGGCACAACCCCACCTTGCTCAGCCCATTAATTTGGCACTTGGGACCTTCGGGGTCACCTCAAGCCTCTGCCACGAATTTGCTGAGCGCCCTTGGTCATGTCACCCGAGATGGGAGTCTGGGGACATGCTGGCACACGGTGACAGCCTCTGAAAAAAAAAAAAAAAAAGTGAAAAGCTAGTGCCAGGTTTTTTTTTTTCCAGGCAAGGGGAAAAAAAAAAAAATCAACAGGCTGGCTATTTCACTGCTTAAACAGCTTTAATTTATGTGATTGCTGCTGTTCCAAACCCGGAGCAGATCGGTGCCTGGTGTAAATTGTCACAGCGCCGGGGTGTAAATTGTCACTATGCCAGCCTGGCCATCAAACCCCTTTTGGGCTGGCCAAAAAAAATGGGTTTACAATTGGCTGTGGAGTAGGGAATTGCCATGTGTTTCCTGATATTTCAGCCTGGTTCGTACTCCTCGAGCACCAGAACTGGGATTTTATCCCCCAGTGTGGATTCTGACGCTGGTGAAAACTTTGCTTTGGGGGAATCGTATAATCATGGAATCGTTTGGGTTGGAAGGGATCTCAGATCATCCAGTTCCACCCCATGCCATGGACAGGGACACCTTCCACTATCCCAGATTGCTCCAAGCTCCATCAAACCTGGCCTTGAACACTTCCAGGGATGGCGCAGCCACAGCTTTTCTGGGCAACCTTGTGTCAGGGCCTCCCCAACCTCACAGGGAAGAATTTCTTCCTAATCTATTTTTTTTCCTGATAAAAATTATATTTAGCCCTTCCCCGCTGAGCATGTTTTCTCGGTGAGCCGACAAAGCCCCCGAGGGCTTCTGGCACAGCCAAACTGCTGCCAGCTGCTGATCGGCACTTGCCAGTCAAACACAGCCCCCGTTCCTCTTATTGTACGGAGGATTACAAGAGTCGTGATCTCGGCCAGGAAGAGCCAAACCAAGCAGGGAACGTCTTTGTTAAGGGGAATGGGTTGGTTTTCGCCGCCGGTCCCGGGGGAGCGTTCAGGGCAGCGCTAATTGAATTAAGAGCACGTTCGCTCGGGCTCCGACGGGCCACGGTGGCCGCGGCCATCGCTCCGGAGCGGCAGCAGCAGCTGCTCGCCGGCCTCCGTAATTGCAGCCAGAGCCTAAACTGTTGCATTTTGCATGATTCTGCTCCCCCGGGAAGGGGGAGAGTGGTGGGGCGGGGGGCGGCTTCACCCAGCTTTGATGCTGGAGGAGCTCGGCTGAGGTCGGGGCCGGCGGCGGAATGAAAGGCGGCGGCTCGGGGGATGCTGCTGCTGATGGTGTTAATGAGGCAGCGGTGGGGAAGGGCACGGGGCGCCTCCGGACACCTCCTGCTGCAGAGGGGGGATGCGCCCGCCCTCGTTATCGGCACTAACGAGGCGAGGCCGGGCGCAGGCACGGAGGAAAACCCAGAGAGGGCCACTTTGCCGTTGCCCATGCCTGTGGCCAATTTGGAGAGGGCATCCAGGCTGATTGCTCAGCCGTAGGAGCCAGGAGAGCAGCTGGAAGGTGGGGAGCGAGGATTTTCGGGGTGGGTGCGGGAATACCATGCCTTGATACATGAATCCCAGCGCCAAGGCAGGTCCTCATCACCCCGGGAGCCAGGACTGGGCAAGGCTCCATATCTGTGACCTTGCCACTCAGGTGGCAGCGAGGAGCACATGGACTCCATCGTTTATTCCATTAGATCCTGCTTCCCCCTCTAACTGGATTAGAGGGGAGTCTATAAAAGCCAGGCTGGCGGGAGGAGAGCAGGACGCGCAGAGCCGGGAGTGGGAAATGAGGGGCAGGGAAATCACATTACTACTGCCAGCAGCTTCTGGCAGGGCTCTGGCAGGGGTTGTTGGTGTGCCGGAGGGGCCTTATCCAGCAGGCACCCAAGGTGGGGGCAGCACCGGCTGGCAAAGTGTTTTCTAACATCCCATTGCACCTTCAGGACCTGGATACCCACCTCCCACCCACCTGAAGGCTGAGGATGGGCATGGGCCTGCTGTTTCCATCACCACAGGCACAGAACTGCCTCCTTCTCCTCCTTCTCCACCTTGTCACATTGTCACCTCAGGGATCCCCTCTCTGCCCAAAACTCCCCTCGTAACTTCCTCTTGGCCGACCCACAGCTCTTCCCCATCGCTCCAGTGGCACACTGGGGATGTGGATGGGGGGACAGGAGACATGCAGTGGATGCAGATCAGCCCAGATGCCCCCTCCTTGCCCCTGTCACTGCATCCATCCATCTCACAGACCATTGCCTCTCCCTCCCCAGAGACCAGCAGCATTCCTGACCCCGTCAGGCAGCGATGCCCTCCCCAGCCTGGACCCTGCCACACTCAGCACCCTCCAGAGCAGCGAGGAGCCACTGGCGACCCCCCTGTACCCACTTGATGGCCAGGTAAGGACCCACGAGGGCATCCAGAGGTGCTATGCCAACACCCTGCCCATGGCATCCAGCCTCCGTGAAGGCACACGCCATCCTCATAAAGGTGAAAAACCAACATAAATCCCAATTTTTAATCTCTCTTCCAATGTGTGCATGGCTGGGAGTGGCCGGTTTTACCTCCAGCCTGGCTGTAGCAGTGATTTCTTGTGTTGTGTGGAGCATCCCTGTGGATCATCCCTGGTATCCAGCTGTTTCGGGGTGGCACAGGGTCTGGAGGGGGGACATCATCCCATCACCTTGCTGGGGGCAGTGCTTCAATGCACCAGCTTCGATCTAATCGCTCAATCCCAAATTCATTTAGCAAATTCTCTCCTATTATCACTGCATTATGTGGGAGAACCCAGGCACCTCCAGCTCGTACCTTTCGGCTCCAGGAAAAAAATAAAAGCCAGCTGTTCTCCTCCTCCAGCCCTTTGTAGTGACAAATGGAGCCCTTGGATGAATTTAAACCCGGCCCTCGTGGTCCTAATGTCTTCCTGTGCTTTAAGCCATCTGGCTTTAAAAATAACAGGTTGTTAAAGCCCAATTCTGCTTATTAAATAGCTTGGAGAGAAGGGGGTGGAGGGGGCCCATTCTTTCCAAAACCCCACTTATTTCCCCATCAGTGGCTTCCCAGACCCCACCTTCAACCTGCGATTCAGGCAGCAAAGCAAGAAGAAAATTAGCAATAAAATAACCACCATAAAGAAAAGAATAATACTACAGCAAAGCTATTTGTTTTTCCTCCAGCTGTTTTAATTCCTCCAATCCACTGAGCTTTATGACTTCCCTTTCCACGGCTTCTTTATGCTCAACCTAATAGAAACCAATAACGGGGCGTGCGGGGGCGGGTACCACAGCACAGCTTAAATGCCATCGGGGTGTGAGCTCCGAATTTGATGGATACAATTACCCAGGGGCTCTGGAGAAGCCCCAGCACCCTCCAGACCTGCAAAGGATCCAGCCCAATGCTCCAAGCAGCCTCAAATTCGGCTTGCTGCATCCTCACAAGAGCATCCCTGCGAGGATGGGTGGGAAGTGATCTCAAGGATGTTTCCAGCATCCAATTTTAAAGCCCGAGTGGGGCAACAGGAGCCCAGAAATGTTTTGCACAAGGTCTGGGCACCCCTGCACGAGTATTTTCTCTTTTTCTGTCTAAAAAAACCCCATGGCTGGTAGGATTAATATTTCCCCTCACACGCACAACCTTTGGCAGCCGTTTTCTTTCCTTTGCTTTTTTTCTTCCCCCCTAAAGCACAAATTATTTTCACTTGGCTTGCACTGTGGCGCGGGGGGATTTGCTTGGAAAACCCGTCTCCTGACAGCCCCGGGAATCGGGGCTGACACCCTACTAATGGAGCGTGTGTGCGGGAGGGAGCCGGGACGTGACAGCCCCCCCGGCGGCGGGGTTTGGGGGGGCCGGGGGGGAAGCACTCGGCTGATCACAGTCCTGTCACTTCTTCCCGCTCCGCTCGGGCTGATCAAACCCGGATCCTCATCCCTACCCTGCGGCTTTGGAGGTCCTGCTCTGGATCTGCTCGTTAACGCCTTCATTAGAAAGTGGGAAAACAAAGCGATGAGGAACATTATCGGGGATGGGGTAACCCTCCTGCTTTTCCACCTCCCACGGGGGTGGAAATCCTTTGTGCCGGGACATTAACATCCCCTCCTCCCCGGGCTTACCAAGTTTTCCTGCTGGACGAGCTCTCCGACCTTAGGCTGAGCCTTGTGCTGGGCTCAGCCTAACCATGTTTTCCTACCCTCCTGCCCTCTCCCGGAATAGATTTGTGCCTCTCTTACCAGCTGATGAATAATTTACAAGCAGCACTTAACGATTAGGGGGGCGTTTTCTCCAGCCTCCTCAAACATTTGCTTCTCCTTCAAGCCTTTCTTTCTCCACTCCCATCACACATATTTCCCTGACCTGTCGATGCAGGGGGATTTACAAGCCACAGGGTCTCTCGCGGAGCTGGGAGAAGCAAATGTCGTATTTTTTTCCATGCTGGTGTTTTGTTCCCAGCGCTGCACGTGCACTGTCAGCTCCATCACGTAAGATAAGAGCCCAGATGTGCAGCTGGTCCCCAAAAATATCCCATAGAAGAGGAAGCCGTGATGGAGGGGGGCATTTCTTGCTTCCCAGCAGCATTGGAGTCCCTTTGCTGGGCCCATATCCAGTTTCTGTGTGATTTCCAAGGAAGAGGGGGGGCTTTTGCACCCACTGAGCAGGGTCTGCTGCCTCAGCAAGCTGGGAGGGGACACCCAGCATGGTGTGGTGCTGCTGGGCCCAGCAGCTCCTTGGAGCTGGTGCCTGAAAAGTGTTCTGATGGCGAGGGGAGAGGGGGGGCAAGGGGTGAGGGATGTGAGGGGAGAAGGAGCTGTGGAAAAAGAGGATGCTGCAAGGGGTGAGGGTGCTGGGAGGGGAAACCGGCATTCAAAGGATGAAGATGCTGCAAGGAAAAAGGATGGCACCCAGGGAGAAAGTGCAGCAAAGGGTGAAGGTGCCGTGGGCCCGAGGGTGCTGGGAGGGGTGAGGAGAAAGATGAGGATGCTGCAAGGAAAAAGGATGGTGCACTGGGAGAGGGTGCTGCAAGGGACAAGGGTGCTGTGAGGAAAGAAGAGGATGCGAAGGATGAGGATATTGCAAGGAAATAGGATGGGGCATGGGGAGAAGGTGCAGCAAGGGATTATGCTGCGAGGGGAGAGGGTGCAGCGAGGGGAGAGGGTGCTATGAGGGGTGAGGGTGCTTCAAGGGGTGAAGATGCTGCAAGGGACAAGGATGCTGCAAGGGGAGAGGGGGATACGAAGGATGGGGATGCTGCAAGGAAAAAGGATGGTGCACGAGGAGAGTGAGCAGCAAGGTGTGAGGATGCTGCAAGGGGAGAGGGTTCTGTGAGGTGTGAGGATGCTGCAAGGGGAGAGAGGGATTTGAGGGATGCAGATGCTGCAAGGGAAAAGGCTGGTGCATGGGGAGTGGGTGCTGCAAGGGACAAGGGTGCTGTAAAGGGAAAGGGTGCTGTGAGGGAGAGGGGAATGGGATAGATGAGGATGCTCCAAGGAAAGAGGATGGTGCACGGGGAGAGGGTGCAGCAAGGTGTGAAGATGCTGCAAGGAGAGAGGGGGCAGCAAGGGGAGAGGGTGCTGTAGAGGGAAAGGGCAACGTGAGGGAAGAGGAGGATGTGAAGGATGAGGAGACTGCAAGGGTAAGGGACAGTGAACCCCATCACCCCTGTGAAGGGAGAGGGTGCTGTGAGGAAAAAGGGTGCTGGAAAGGGAGAGGGTGCTGTGAGGGGTGAGGGGACAGAGGGGTGCAAAAGATGAGGATGCTGCGAGGGAAAAGGATAATGCATAGGGAGAGGGTGCTGCACGGGGTGAAGGTGCTGTGAGGGCTGAGGGGACACAGGGATGTGAAAGATGAGGATGCTGCAAGGGACGGTGCAAGAGGAGAAGGCGCTGTGAGGGGTGAAGGTGCTGCAGGGGGTGTAGATGCTGCAGAGGCTGAGGAAGCTGCGCGGGACGAAGATGCTGCAGGGCCGAGGGTGCCGCCGAGGTGCAGGCGGCCGCCGGCCCGTGCGAGGCTCCAGCCCCATCTAGCGACAGCTCCGCCGGTCCCGGCTCCCCACCGGGGAGGGGACAACCCTCCACCCCGGATACCGCTCCTCTGGAGCTGGGATGTAACCGGTTGGGACGGGGATGCCTCGCTTTGCCCAGCCCGGGGATGCTCGGAGATGTTTGCCGGGAACTGGACACCCATGGGTGCCCCGGCAGGCACGGGCACGGGGCTCAGTGCGCGGCAGGCTGGTGGGTACGGGGGGGGAAGGGGATCCCCCAGCAGGATTAAACCAATTAATAAAACAGGCCCATAAGTGAGCTGATGTGACCCCAGAGGTCACCACCCTGGCACTGCCTCCAGGAACAGGGGCAGGGTAAAGGCATTTACAGCAGAAACCTGCCAGCCACCCCAAATCCATCTGCAATGTCACCGCTGGGCTGGGGGAGAGTAAAAGTAACGGGAAAAGCTGTTTTCTTGGGGAGAAGGTGGGATGGCGAGGACGGGGACAGAGGGACGTGGGTTTTGGAGGGCAGCAGAGGGGGCTGGAGAGGCAGGGACCCAAGGGTAAAGGGCTGGGGGAGGCTGCGTGTGGGCTGAAGGGGTTGAAAATGATCCAAGTGCCACAGTTATGTTGCATGAGGGAGTTTTTTTGGTGATCCAGGCCCTGGGCAAAGGTGGGCTTTGCATGGGCTTCTCCTGCTTGGGTCTGGGTGGCTGAGGGTTTAGCTGTGTGGGGTAGGGACTGGGGACACCAGCACTGATCCAGAGCATGGAAGAAGAGAAAACTGTCTCCAAAATACCATTTTTATGTGTTTGGGAGTGCTTGCATTGGAACGTGTGGCACCCTTGCATGTCCTGCTCCAACCCAGCCCAGCAGTGCTACTAAACCCTCTGTGAACCTGGCACAGAGGGACTCATCCATCCTTGTTTAGGGACTTCTCAGCCTTTCCTGGTCCTAGGGCACCTAAAAAGTGTGGGAATAGGGGAGAGCATTTAACTTGGGTCCCATGCATGGATTTTTGAAGGTATGTTGGGATAACTGTCTCTGTGGAGCTGCCTAGTGCTGCCCCATCTGGCACTGGGGACTTTTGGTGATATTTCTCCACTTCTTCACATCCCCGAGGTTTGTCTTAAAGCACAAATGTGGATGTTTTCCTAGGAGGAAAAAACCCCACAAGGACTCAGTGGGAACCCAGAATAACAGCTGGAATCTGTTTCCCTCATTTTTTTAGTCTCAGGAGGGGGATTTTAGGTCTGGCCCCTGTTTGTGGTCGGGGGTGAGCAGCAGCACTGGGGGATGCTCTGGTCCATGCTGGGAGGAGAAACCCAACCCAGGAGATTCTTTCCCACTGGGCACCATCAGGAGCAGGGCATCACTTGGGGACATCACTTTGGCTGTCCCCCTCCCTCCTGAAAGCAGCAGGATGAGGGGGAAAACTGTTTCTCGGGAGCCAGGAGCTGACTCAGCCGGCATTTGCTCTCAAAAGTTATCCCACCTGTTCCTAGCTGCATATATTTTTTCCCTTTTTTTGTCTTTCTTTTTTTTTTTTTTTGTCTTCCTTTCATTTTCTTTGAGGAAAATAAACCAGCAGCGACTCACAGAGGACTCACAATCCCTGCTGGCGGCACAGCTGCTTCCTTGAGCCTTATCTTGAAGGAGCAGGCGGGAGGGTGGGAGCCCGCGGAGCAGTCTCCTCTCCGTGGAGCATCTCCCCTCCCCGAGCTACCCAGTGTAATCCAGAGGCTTTTATATCCTTGTAAAACACGATATCAGCAGCCGGCAGCTGGGCCCGGAGCCGGAGAGCGATGGCAATCGCCCGCCCTAAACTCGTCCTCGAGGCTGGGGGGGGAGCAGAAGATGTGGTGTCTCTATTAAATGGGACGTGGCACAGATTAAGCAGTTTTCAATGCAATCCAATTAAGTCCTAAATTGAATTGTAATGCTTTGCCTAATACACCCACCCCCCCCCCCAGCACAGCCCCCCCCCGGAGCTTGGGAAGGGAGTTCAGCCTTGATTTAATCAGATAAAACCCCGTTTATTTGCTGCCTTTCACATCCTGCCAAGGTGTAAGGGGAGCAGCCGGGCTAAAATTCTCCGTATTTCCCCCGGGAATTGGAGTTCCCCAGGAAAACACTGTGATTTTAGAAGCAGAGGAGGAAAACCGACGTTTTCCCCACTGATCTGGCCACCCAGATGTCCTGAGGGTGGTTTGGGTACCCAGGGACCTGGGACCTGGCATCAACCCCAGCCCCATCTATACCTGCATCCCAAGGGAATATGTGAGGTTGATGGGGGCAATGGGCAAAGCAAAGAGAGGCATCACCATCTCCTGATGAGTTCATGAGCTTTTGTTACAGAAAAGAGGGGAAAATGGGATTTTTTTTTTTCCCTCTGATCTTCCTAAGCCACTGCAGTAATTTTTTTTTCTCCTCAGATATGTAAATCCAAGCTTATCCCATCTTCCTAACAATTAAGGAATTAGGCTTAATATTCATCCATGGATGTTTTATTTGTGGAGCTGGAGGGAGATTGTGCTGCAGCAGGGGGTGGGGGGCCGTCAGGGGCTCAAATGCCTCTGTGCTCACACGTGTAACAAGTTGTCCCATCCTCAGCCTTTCTCATGTCCTCTCCTCAGACAGGGACGGGGTCTACACACGCCATGTGGATGCAGAACCCTCTGGCACACCCTATTTTTAGCAATTTTCGGACCTTCCTGCCTCCTGCAGAGGTTTATTTCTAGCCCCCTCCCCGTCTCGCTTTGCTCCGTGCTGCTCCATCTAGAGAGGAATTGATTCCAGCAGTCAAAGCTAATCGGATACATCAAAGCATCTTGGAGCAATTTGTTAAGTAAATATAAAAAAAAAACCCCAAACTTAGCCTAAGTAAATATGGGAAGGAGGGGGGGGTGGCATATCGGGTGATGAAAGGCTCCAAAGGCAGGAGAAGCTTCAGAGAAGCTTGGAAATGATGAGGAGGGGAAAAAAAAAATATTAAAAAATAAATAACGAGTGCCAGGAGTTTCAAAGCTTCCATCATTTCAGACGCGGATTCCCAGCCTTTCATCCCGGACCCCTGTGGGAAGGAGAGACGCAGCGATCTCTGTACGGATTTGAGATAGGAGATGTAGGGAAAAATGTCTTCAAATGCCTTTAACCCTGTCCCTGGGGTGATGCTGCCTGCCGGGATGGTGGGATTCTGAGCAGCGCTGGGCTGGGAATACAGGCTGGGGGAGCTTTTCCAGGCTCTGCAGGTGTAGTCTGAGCCTGGAAAAGCCGTGGTGGAAGGCAGCCCAGGCAAGGCAAGTGCATTATTGATGGAGCAGATAATTGCACGCTTCCCACCATCTCCTTGATGAAAAATTGATGGCACGGGATGAGGTAGCGAAGGGCTCCACTGACTTACACCGGCCTCTTTGTTCCCTGACAAACCCTGGAGCAGAGGTGGATGCGGGATGCCACAGCAGGTGGGAGGCACAGGAGCCTCTGTGGGACCCTGAAAAAGGGACAGGATGAGGGACAAGCAGGGACAGAGAATCCCGTGCCTTAAAACACGTTAAATTCAGTCTCAGGACGGAAGTGGGGTTTGCTCAGCAAATTATCCAGCCAATTATTCCCAGGCCAAACTCCAAGGTGGAGCTGAAGCCTGATGCCACCCAGCACCTCCCAGACGTGTGTCCTCCGAAGTTAATTGAGTGTTTGAAACATCAGAGGAGCGTGCTGGGAAGGCAGAGCATTTCCATGCATGGAAATGAGGCGCTGTCATCACTGGAGCCACCCAGGAGCGCTGGGATCTGGTGGTGGCCTCCACCAAGTCACTCTCCTTGGCTCTGCACTGCTGGGAGCAGGGAATAAGGCAAAAAAAATCAGGATGGGAATGAGAAGGGAGGGCTGGAAGCAGTGAGGGGCTGAGGTCTCCACAAGCTCTGATGGTTTTGGAAGCAACAATGGGATGTTGAAGGGGAAGAGATGTGGATGTCCAGGGCACCTGTCTGCCTCTGGAATTCTCCCATTCTGGGTGCAGACGGGTGATTTTGGCCTCCCAGCTGCTCCACGGAGGAGTTGCTAAGAGGCAAGTTGTGTTGTAGCAACAGCTGCCGGTGTGCTGGGAGCTCCATGCCACCTAAATCCTTTTGCCAGTGGAAAGGGCTTGGGAAAACCAGCTTTTCCTCATGCTACAGCCCCCTGGCATCACCGCAAGTCCCCCGGCTGCAGCTCAGGCAGTGGTGCAGGAACATGAGGTTTGCCTGGGGGGGATTTGTTTGGGGCAGGAGGAGCCTGGCAACCTGCTGTGGGCAGGGCTGACTGTGGGAACGGGGTGCTGGGGGGACCGAGACACCCCAGGAGCGGGAAGGATGCTCTACTACAGACCCTTCTCCTCCACTGTGAGTGCTGGGAGCGGCAGGTGGGGATGGGGACGTCATCTGGTGTCACCAAGGGAGGGGAGGACCCAGAGGTCCCTGTTACACCCGAGCAAGGGTGCCTGGCTCAACAGTCCTGCTGTGGAATGATGCTCATGGAGTTGCATCCATGTCTTACATGTAGCGGTGGCACTTGGGGACGTGGTTTAGTGCTGGTCTTGGCAGTGCTGGGTGAATGGACTTGATGGTCTTAAATGGTTCCATGATACAAAGTCAGGAGTTTCTGAGTACCCCCATCCTCAGGAGAAGGTCTTCCAGCCCTCTGGCTGTATCCAAGCCCCAAAGCGGGATGCTTGAAGCATCACAGCCAGTCATTCCAGAAGTTTTGGGGCAGAGCTGGACCCTGATCCCAAAGCAACAACGGCAAAGGTGTTTTGCTCCAGATGAAAGCCTGGAGAGCTGCTCCCAGCTGTGGGAAAGGGGATGAAGGAGCTTGTTCCTCCCCAGCCTGCTCCTCATCCTCACCCTCTGCCCTGATGTCTCCCGCCAGCTCCATCGAGATGACATGTCCCTCCCAGCAGTTGATGCCATGGCCAGTATCCTGCCTGGAAAGCAGCCATTCCCACATGGAGAGCAGAGGTACGGGGACCGCTGTGGGTTTGGCTCCTTCTTCTTATCCTCCTTGGGGTGATTTCATCCTTCCTTCACTCTCCCCATATTTTTCCCAGCAGCTTCTCCTCCTGCCCCAGTGCTGCAGATCTTACTCCTCATCTCCTCCAGCCTCCCACCCTTCCTGCACTCCCATCCCTCCCAGCACCCCAAACAGGCTCCTGTCTCCTACAGAGAGTTCCTTGGCCAGGGTTTTGCTGGTGTTTCACAGTGTCCCCCCTGCTCTTGGCTCTGCAGGTCCCAGGAGAAATTTGGAGATCGCCAGGAGCTGGTGAGTGCCAGGGAGACAGCAGGAGCAGGGACAGTGGGGACACTGCAGAGGAAAAGCAGTGTCCCCAAGGTTGGTCCTGGCTCCCAAAGCCAGTGAAGGTCTGGGAGGGGGTGGGGGGCAGCCCTTGAGCTTGGCTGGAGGGACCTTTACCTTGGGAACGAACCAAAACCTGGATGAAACCGCTCCTGGGCAGATGGGGAGGAAGGAGCAGAGCCTCTAGCTGCACCTGCCCCCCTTTCCCCCCTTCCCAAGGCTACTTGATGCTGCTGCAGCCCCTCCCCACGCCCTGGCCCCCCCACAGGCCACTGGCCAAGGCCATTCCCAAGGCTGGGAGCAGGGGGCCCAGGGGAGCTGGAGGCACACAGCTCCCTCTGGCCAAGGTCCCTGCTGTCAGGATCCTCCCAGCGTGGCAGAGAGGGGTATCAGCCTAAAAAGATAAAAATCCACAGGGAATTTTATCCCCCCAGCACCACCTGGCATCATCTTTCTGTTATTCTTCACCCCATCCCTTCTTTCAAAGACCTGCAAAGCCCTGAAAGGCTCAGAGCTCGGGGATGACTCCCAGATCCAGCACTGCTCCACCCCACATCCTTGGGAGATTTCCCCAAGGAAAAGATGGAGAAATGGAGGAGGGGTCTGTTGGGTGGAAGGAGAGGTGGGTGGATGGAGAGGAGAAGGTTTGGAAGGACAGAATGGATGGCTGGAGAAGAAAAGGATGGATGGATGGATGGATGGATGGATGGATGGATGGATGGATGGATGGAGAAGAGAAAGATTAATACATGAACATGTGGATGGATGGATGGGAAAAAGAATAATAGATGGCTAGAGAAGTGAAGGACAAGTGGCTGGAGAGGGATGCATGGAGATGAGAAGAATGAATGTATGAATGCATGGATGGATAGATGGATGGGGAAGAGAAGGATGGATGGAGAAGAGAAAAGAAGGATTGACACATGAATGGATGGATGGATGGACAAATGGGAAAGAGAAGGATGGATGGAAGAGGTAGAGAAGGATGGATGGTGTCAAGAGGAGTGGAAAATCTGGATGTTCCTTAGCTCTCCACAGTGGGTCTGACCCTCAAGCCACATATCCCGAGCTGATCCCTTGGATCTGGGGACAGCCCTGGCTGCCATGGGGTGCCAGCAGCTCTGCTCTGGGCTGGCAGGATGTGGGCAGCTACCGCCTGGCACTGAAGCGGATGGCAGGGGACCTCCTGTCCCTGCGCCGGCACGTCACCAGCCTGGAGGTGGAGAACGGGCACCTGCGGGGCAGCCTGGCCTCGCAGCAGGAGCTGGGCCACACGCTGCTCCACGACACTGACCTGCACGTCATGACCCGGGAGGAGCTGCTGGACAGGCTCGGTGTGTGGCGGGGAGGGGGCAGGTGGGAACTGGGGAACCTCCTCCCCAGTCCCCTGGCTGGGTGACAAGGATGTGGCATGGGCTCTTGCAGCCACCCTCAAGCACCAGCTGGCGGCCAGCACAGCAGAGATGAGGAGACTGAAGGATCGCGTCCAGCAGCTGCAGAATGAGCTGATCCGGGTATGGGTGTGAGCAGGGGCTGCCTGGGGGATGGAGTGGGCTGGAAAAGCAGGGGAGTAGCGGGGCCCCCCAGAGCCCAGCAAGTGCCTGAGAGCCCCAGGACCCCTCCATGAGGTTCTCCCAGGTGATGCCTCAAGGCTTGAGGCTCAGCACAGAGCTCCCTGGGGGAATTTCCTCTTCCTCCCTCGCAGAAAAATGACCGGGAGAAGGAGCTGGTGCTGCTCCAGCGAGCCCACCGGCTGCAGCAAACCATGCTGAGGAGGTGCCAGGATAGGGTGGCCAAGGCAAAGGGCTTGGAGGAGACTGTGCAGCAGCAGGAGAAGGTGAGCCATGGGGCATTAGGTTGGGGTGAGAAGGACAGACTGGAGGGCACAAGGCTCTGTGGAGCAGACGGGACCCTCTGTCCCATCTGGCTCCTCCATGAGATGATGTCACAGCCTGGCATTGGGCTGGTGATGTGGAGACAGCTCTGCCCTCTCCCACAGGTCATCCAGGTGATGGAGCGGGTGCTGCAGGAGAAACTCGCCAGGGCAGGCAGGAGCACGGAAAAGCCAGCAGGTGGGTGCAAGAGGGAATGAGGACTCTCGGGGGGGGGGGGTGGGGGTGGTCCGTACCCAGCTGCTGGGCTCCCTGGGATGATCCATGGTGGGGGATCAGTCGGTCCTGAGCCCCCCAGCACACATTCCTGGGCATGGGAGAGGCAAGGGCTTGCTCTAGCCCCCATCCCTGCACGGGGAGGGGCGCAGGACACGTCCCAGTGTCCCCCCCACGCCATCCCCCAGGTGAAGCCCTCTCCGGGGAGATGCACACCGCGCTGCTGGCCGAGAACCGCCGGCTGCGGGAGGAGCTGGCGAGGGCCGCCCACCCCGCGGCCCCCATCGCCCCGCGGCCCCCAGCCCTGCCGGTGAGACTGGGGGAGGGCACAGGATTGGGGAGGGGGCAGAGCCGTGGCACCCCAGAAAGCACTACTGGAGGGTCTCCTGGGGGCATCACCTGGATGGCATCTCCGGCTCTGTGGGGCAATAGCCACCCCACGGCTCGTCCCCGCCGTGAGCAGCGGGAGAGAGCGGGGAAATCCAGCACGGCCGTTCCCGCTCCAGCTCACCTCGTGCCCACAGGGTGTTTTGGGGGGCACGGAGAAGCTGTCTCTGCTGGCCCGGCTGGAGGAGGCACAAGCCCGCGGGCGGGTGCTGGACAGGCAGGTGGGCATCACCCCTCTGCACCCCACTTGATGGTGGGGGGCTTGGAGTGTCTCTGGCCCCCATTTTCTGGGGAGAGCCAGCCTGTTTTGGGTCTGTCCCAGCTGGAGAAGGCAGCGAGGAAGTGGGGCCGGGAGAAGCAGGAGCTCGGAACTCGTCTGCTGGAGCAGGAGAATTGCTTCCCCCACCCCTCGGTGAGCACACAGGGGGGACCAAGGACACCCCTCACGGGAGCTGGCAGCCGGTATTTGCTGCCAGCAGGAAGGATCGGGACTCAGAGCCACCCCTATGTGCTCTTGGACAGTTTGAGGGAGGGGTGCAGGGCAGGGGGGGGTCTCCATGCCCACCCTCACACTGGGGGGAATCTGGGGCCCTCAAGAATCCCAGAATGCTCCCCTGCCAACCCAGAGCCCTCTCACCTGATGCCCCCCAGAGGGCGAGGCTGCATTTACAGCTCCCCAAGACCTTTTCCTGTCCCTCAGCAGAACCTGATTGCAATGTCCACGGCCCCCCGGAGAAGACCCCACACTCTGCCCCCCCTGCCCTAACCCGCGCCCGCTGAGAGAGACGGAGAGACGCACTGCTGGCAGGAAGAAGCCGGTGCTTTTTCACGGGATGCGATGACAGAGGAAATGAGAGGCAAAGCAGAACATTGGAGGGGGTCGGAGGAGCTCGGCCGCAGTCCCTGGTGTGGTTCCCAGGGAGCCCCGAGCAGCCGGAGGGTGCAGCAGCACCAACCCACCCTCCCACCCCGCACTCCCTTCAGTTTATCTCCCCCGTGGCGTAAGCGCAGCCTTGAGCCAAGGCAGAGATGCAGCAAGCCAAGGCTGCAGCCCTGAAAGTGTCCCAGACGTCCCCCAAATCCCATCCCCAGGCTGGAGACTGGCTGGAAGGAGCTGAAAGTGCCTGTTGGGATGTGGGAGATGTCCCAAAATGGGGACGGGCTGGGTGTCACCCGGGATCAGGCTCATCACGCCCGGGACTCGAGCGGCCGTAAGGTCAAGTAGATGGGTTTGTCTGGGATAAGAATGAGATCAAACTTGGTCCCAATTTCCACTGCTCTCATGGTTTCAATCTTGAAGTTCTCCAGGATCTGGAATGAAAGAGAACAGAGCAGATGGGTTGGATAGGGCTTGGAGCAACCTGGTCTAGCAGAAGGGGTCCCTGCCCATGGCAGGGAGTTGGAATGATTACACAGAAAACTCTGGAGGTAGCCACACCCACGTGCCACTTCCCTGATCCCCCCCAGTGACAAGTCCCCGGTGTCCCCAGCAGCAGGATGCTCACCTGCATGAGGAAGAGCTGCATCTCCAGCTCAGCGATCCGGCGCCCCAGGCACTGCCGTGGTCCAAACCCAAAACTCAGTCCCTGGAAGTGCTTGGGGCCAGCTGCCAGCCAGCGCTGGGGCCTGAACTGCTCTGGCTTGGGAAAGACCTCAGGATCCCGGCCCATGGCGTAGAGACCGACCTGCACCAGCGTCTGTAGGGAGGGATCAGCCCCGTGGGTCTGGGCTCTCCACGTGGCTTTGCTGGGGTGCAGGGATGGCATCCAGCCCTCCAGCTGCTCCCTCCATGTCACCCAGGTCCCACAACCCCGTCAGGGTGAGGAGGGACCCGGTGACCATGCTTACCTTGGGGGGGATGCAGTAGTCCTGGAGGATGACCTCTTGAGTGGTGTACCTCTGCAGGGTCACGGCCACAGGGTGCAGCCTGGGGAGACAAGTGCCAAACATCTCATCCTGGGGACAGCCTCACCTGCCCACACTCCCCTTCGATTCATGACGGTTCAGGGAGGGAAGGGGCTTGGGGTGTTTTTCAGTGGGGCTCCTCCTCACCTGAGCGTCTCCTTGATGGCAGCTTTGAGCAGACGGATGGTTTTCAGCATCTTCACCCTGTCCCCTGCCGCCTCACGCTTGGCAGCCAGCACCTCTGCCCGCAGCTGCTCCTGGACCCCCGGGGCCCGTGCCAGCTCGAACATGGCCCACTGCAGCGTCATGGAGGTCTGGAGCAGGGCAGGGGAGCAAGGCTCAGCACCAGCCAGGACCTGCACCCTGCCCAGCCACCCTGCCCGCTCCATACCGTGTCCACCCCGCCCGCCATCATCTCGGTGACGCTGGCCCTGATGTCATCCAAGGGCAGCTTGTCCCGCATGATGAGGTTGCAGAGGATGCCCATGTACTCCTTGGTGCTCTTGCGTTGCAGCCGTAGGTCCCGGTAGACATTTTGGATGCATTTGTCCGCTGAGGAGACACGGAGGCATGGCATGGTCTTCCTCCCCCAAGGAATGGTGGAGGAGGAAGGCACCTCAGGACATTGCTGCCCCAGGGGGAGACAGCCTGCAGGAGGGTTATCCCAGGTGCCCAAAGATATCTGAGGCCACAAGCCCCTCTGGGAGAGCTGCTCCCCTCAACATGCTGCCCATCATCTGCCCTTCATCACTCCTGGATGATTCCCCTCGGCTCCGTCCCACAAGTTCCAGACGTGGAAACTCTACCTGGCATTGGTGATTGGACCCAGGAGAATGTCTCCAGAGTGGTGACATGGGGCTGCAGTGACTTGGCACTATGGAGCCAAGCCCTCAAAGGGACCTTGGATGACAAAGGGAGGTGCAGGCAAGGAGGAACACTCACCCTGGGAGAAGATTGCATCCCAGGCCTGGACGTGGTCCCGCCACGTCTTGGTGTTGAGGTGGCGGAGGAGGGCGGGTGGCAGGTAGAGCATGGGTGATGTGGTGTGGAACATCAGGCTCACGGCATCGATGAAACGCTGCGCGTCGGGGTCCACGAAGTCCTGCAGCAGCCCCAGGCGCTCCCCGTACAGCACATGGCACACGGCTGCAAGGACAGCACCCGTGAGGGGGCCCATCCCCATCCCCTTCCACCATCCCACGGCCAGCTCCAGCCTTTCCAAGGCCTGGCTTGGCCTCCTGTTTACTCAGGATCATGAGGGGTTGGTTTGAATAGGGTTGGCCACCGGTTGATGACCAGTAAATGATAAAAGAGTGTTTTATCAAGTATTGAGTTGTTCTCCTCTTGTCTAGAGAGAGGACATCCTGCCTGGAGAGAGGACACTGCTCTACACACTTCGGCCTTGGGAGAGACACTGGTGGGCCCATCTCTGAGGATGAAGCTTGGGGAAAAGGGTGGGTTTTTTGTGGGGACACAGGCTTTGAGGCTCATGCCCCTGACACTCACACTCCAGGGCGAAGCGGAAGAGCTCGTGGGTGAAGTCAGCCGTCCAGTGCTCCCGGCCACTCTTCTCCACCTGGGCTCTCGCCCGCCGGATAAAATCCTCACCCACCTGGCTCAGCAGAGGCACAAACCCCTCCACCACCTGTGGCGACAGCACCTCCTTGTTCAGCATCAGGCGGTCCGAGCGCCAGGCCTCCCCCGTCCTGCGGGACACCAAAGTGGGGGTCAGAGGTGTCCCCCTCACCCAGGGGATGCCACTCCCCAAAGCCCAGGACCAGCCGATGTCCCCATCACCCTCCTGATGCTCCAGCTTCTCCCCAGCCCTTGTGCTGGGGCTATGGCAATAGGACCTGGTAGCCCCATTTAGAGGGCACTCCCCGGCCCCCCGACTCACTTGAGGAGCACACCATAGGGCTTGTTGCGGAAGTCACGATATGCCACCCAGGGGGGGACACTGAAGCGCTCTGGCAGTGTCCCCTCTGCCTGGAAGAGGGTGGCAGCGTCCCGGGGGCTGATGATGTTCACACTCTCGTAGACACCCAGCTTCTCCCTGACGGGGTGAAGAGGGGGGTCAGCCCTGCACTCTGAACCTCAGCAACCCCAAATCAACCCCCCGCCCCCTTGCATGCCCTAAAATCCTGCTGGAAGGTCCCGTCCTGGGAAATGCAGGGGCTCAGCACCAGGATCGGGCCCTCAGGACTCAGGTGGGAATAGAGAGTGGTGCTGAAATCAAATCCCCAGCCCTTCTTTCTCAGATCCAGACCCTGTGGAGATCAGGGAGGGCAGAATCCTCTCCAGCTTCACCATTCCATCCTCCCGATATTCTACATCCACAAGGCACTGCCGCATGGTCCCTGCCCCTTCCTAGGGCACAGAGTCTGTCCCTTCCCGCCCCAGGTTTCCGGTCCCCTCCCAAGGACCTGTCCCTTCCTGCCTCCTGTTCCCTGTCCCCTCCCATGGCACAAGGGTCTGTCCCCTCCTGACTCCCACTCCCCGTTCCCCCCCAGGGCACCAGCTCTGTCTCCTGCTACCCCCCTCTCGCCCATCATTGTGGCATCAAGCCTGGTCAGCGCACGGCAAGCCAGGCTCCTCCAGCAGCTCAGTCACATATTCCCCCCTCCCTCGCCCTGAGCAGAGCTGGGAATAGCGGCATCATCCCCGTCTGGAAAAGCCACTGGGGCTGGGGAGCAGGGTGAGAGAGGCAAGGAGGGGGGCCAGATGCCACCTCACCTGTAAATGGGCCCGAACTGCTGGAACTTGCGAGCCATGATGTGGTGGACGTTGTTCAAGCCGCCCTCCTGCCAGAAGCGGTACAGGTTGAGCCAGCCGGCTCGCCACTCCCCCGGCAGCTGGTTGAAGGGCCGGGGAGTTGAGGGGGTGGGGGTGGCAGCCCCCCCAAGCCGGTGGCACCCCCCGGCTGGGACAGGGGGACATCCCCACAAGGCGCCGGGTTTGGGCGCAGCACGGGCGAGCATGGGAGCGGGCGGCAGAGAGGGAAGGGTGGCCTGGAGCGGGCGGTGGAGAGGGGAGGGTGTCCTCGCTCTTATCCCCGCTCAAGGAGAGGTGCTCTCGCCCGCCTCCCGATGAGTCACGGCCCCCCTGGGGCCGGGGACAGACGGACACTGGGGCATGGGGCAGAGCCAAGGGGTTGGCAGAGCATCGTCCCCTCCCAGCCTTGCCATGGCGGGGTGTGACAGGTGACACGCTGACCTTGAGCGGCAAGGGGTGACCACGGGTGACACTGGCAAGTGGCCTGTGTCACCCCACTACAGGCGGGTACTGCTGCCAGCGCTGACAATGAAAACTCGGCTGCCAAGGAGAGAAATGGTTTATCTGCCAAATAAATGATAAAAACGATCTAGGGGACAAAATAGTGGCAGTTAAACGTAATAAAGGTCACATCAGCCCAGCAGGGGACAGCCTTGGGGACCCCTAGCCAGGGTCACCCCAGGAGGGGACAGTCTTGTAGACTCCTGAACATTGCTGGGGGGTGTCTCACCTCCACCCTCCCCAGGACAGGGAGTGCTGGGGGGACACATCCCCACTTCCTAGGCTCCTTCCAGGATGGAAAGGCTTTTTGGGGTGTCCTGAGCCACGGACAAAGGCTGCAGCACCCGAGGATGGTGGCAGAGTCCCTTGTCCCCAGGCACAGCAACAGCCACTGGCAATGGCGGGGTGGGGGAGATAATGGGATGGGCTCTACTGAGGGGTCCCTGAGACATCTCTTTGGGGGGTCCCCCGGGTCTCTGGAGTGTCCCTGGAAGGGACTGGGAGCGGGACGAGCGGCGGGATGTTCGGGGCCGGGGATGCTGAGCCGGGCTTAGTGGCGGATGCGACAACGGCGGCGGCCACCGGGAGGCGCGCCTGGCCCGTCAGTGGCACCGCACGGGGACAGCGCCGACCGTGCCCCCCTCCCCGGCACCTGAAGCCTGTCCCCTGCCAGGGCATGGAAGTTGTCCCCTCCTGCCCCCCACTCCCTGTCCCCTCCCAGGAAACAGGGTCTGTCACCTCCTGCCCCATGAGTCCTGTCCTTTCCCAGGCCACAAGATCTGTCCCTTTCTGCCCCA